ATGTCACCAATTCTTTTTGATATAGTGACTACGTATTTCTTCTATCTTGTTTTGATGATTCCTGTGTCATTTAATATTTTTCCTGTAAAATCCTTCAATATCGCAACTCAAAGCTTGAATTTTTTCTTCAGTTCTTTCAGCATGAAAAATGCTGAGCATGATCTTAAGTTTTGGTGTTCTAACTCCAAGTCTTTGCACTTGTCATTATAATACTTTACTTTCTCTTGTGAGCCACCCTTTGAAATTTTCTGTTCAGCTCTTTTACTTCATCATTTCTTCTGCTTCCTTTAGCTACTCTATGTCCAAGAACAAGTTTCAGAGTCTCTTCTGACATCCATTTTGGTCTTTTCTTCCTTTCATGTCTTTTTAATGACCTCTTGCTTTCTTCATGTATGCTGTCATTCCACAGCTAGCTTGATCTTCTGTCATTAGTGTTCAATGTGTTAAACGTATTCTTGAGATGGTCTCTAAATTCAAGTGGGACATACTCAAGCTTATACTTCAGCTTTTGTGGACTTGTTCTAATTTTCTTCAGCTTCAACTTGAACTTGCATACGAGCAATTGACAGTCTGTTCTGCAATCGGTTACCGGCCTTGTTCTGTCTGATGATATTGTGCTTTTCCATCGTCTCCTTCCATAAATGTAGTCAATTTGATTCCCACGTATTCCATCTGGTGAGGTCCACATATAGTCACATTTTTTCTTGTTGAAAAAAGGTATTTGAAATGAAGAAGTCATTTATCATGCAAAAGTCTATCATTCTATCCAGCATTCTATCATTCTATACAGCATCGTTTCTATCACAAATCCTGCTTCTTTGTTTCAAACTTTTGCATTCCAATTACCAGTGATTATTAATGTATCCTGATTGTATGTTCAATCAACTTCAGACTGCAGAAGTTAGTAAAAATCTTCAATTTCTTCATCTTTGGCCTTAGTGGTTGGTGTGTAAATTAGAATATAATTGTATCACCTGGTCTTCCTTGTAGGCATATGAATATTATCCTATCACTGACAGCATTGTACTTCAGGATAGATCTTGAAATGTTCTTTTTGACTATGAATGCTAAGCTACTCCTCTTCAAGTTGTTATTCTGAGCATAGCAGACCATATGATTGTCTGATTCAAAATGGTCATACCAGTCCATTTCTGCTCAC